CAATACAGAAATTTGTCAGCCCACAATTGCCTCCCTGTGCCCCTTCCAGTTACTACATCCAAGGGTAAATAATCTGACATCTAATAGGAGAGATCACTTTCACCTGTTTGGTGCTTTATATAAATGAATCCATACAGAATGAAATCTTCTCTGTTGGCTTTTTTTTCACTTTTCACTCCACATGTTGTTTGTGAACTGTTTATCATCACATGTTGTGAGTGATTTATTAACATTAGTTCCATTGTGTGAATTCTGACAATTTAACAGGATCCCATTCTGTGAATATCTAACAATAAATTTAATCATCCCACTCTTGATGCATACGTGGATTTTCAGTTTGGGGCTATATTATGAACAGTACTACTGCTATGTAAATTCTACAACTGATGTTTTGGTGACAAAGTACAAATTTCTGTTGTTATATGTGTAGTAGCAGATTTCATGGGGTCATATGCTTACTTCTTCTCAGCTTTGTAAATACTGCCAAGTACTTTTCAAAATGTACCAATTTTCCCAACCATCAGCATTTATATGAGGTTGCATATTCATCCATTCTTCAGGGTGGAGTGAAGGTAGAGTGTTCGTGAAACAAACTCCCCTGGCACTTGCCATTAGTAGATGGGTGAGGCTATAGCCCATTGGCCACTATCCTCTGATGTCAACGTTTTCACTATAGAGATGATGTGCTCTTTGTTGGAAAGTTAGAAACGCTGAGTCTCAACAGGCCTGTCTAGGACGTTCCCTCTGCGCCTAGGCAAGGCTGATGAAATATGACAAGTTCAGTCTTCTTTTCCATTTAAAGTTTATTTGATTTATGTGGGCAGATACTATACTAAATCATTCCACCAGTAAAGAAAAATAAACTCGTGTCTCTTTCAACCCCTCACACCAAAATTGAGGTCTGGCCCCTTAATAGACTTCTAGAGTATTGAAGACAATGTGAGTCTCTGTGCTTGACTGCCAACTAGTTTCTGGCAAAGGCAAGCAGCCTCCATCTAGAAGATGCCCTTGGGGTTTGGACTCAGGTTTGACACAACTAACAGGTGAACTGCTCTTGAAAAGCAGCGATTAGCTTGCTACTGAGCTTTTTTCAAAACTGGAGGCTAATCCATGGAAGCCTTGCGACTGTCTGGTCTGATAGTCACATTTTGATACGAGGCAACTTGGCCTGCACCATCTTAGCTTTACAAGAATAAGTCGTATCTGGAGCCTAAAATAAAGACCCTGGCGATATGATGCCCTCACTCATCCAGGAGTCCCCTAAATGCCTGGCCTTGGTTCAGGGATGGTTCAGCCAAACTGAAACCTAGTGGTGTCCACTGGGCCGAGTGGATGTTTAGCCTCAATGCTGAACACGAGGAAATGAAAGCAGATGTGGTTGCTTTACTCAGTGGTTCGAATCCAGGATCTTGCGGTATTGCCCGTGAGAAAGCTGTCTGACCTGCCACTTGGAATACTATAGACTGGCAGACTAAGGGCGACTATCTTTGGGTCTGCAAATTGCAGAAACAAACTTACAAAACTGTCCGGGTCACTCATTTAGAAGCCAGTGGTAAGGGCACGTTCATCGAAGAAACCAACTGTAATCATGCTGCTGATCAAGCCTGTTCAGACTATGATGGAATGCTCCACTCACGGTCCTTCTGAAGGTGACCGTTTGTCTCATGTTGGTGGAGTCCCTCACCTGTTTATCCCCAACTTTATAACAGTCCCTTTATCCTGCACCCTTCAGCTTTCCTTCATCTTTCATTCCCCATGAATTCTCTCCCATGTCAACCCCAGGCTGAACTGCAGCCCTGGGATTGCATCAGCTATGTTAGGAAAAGGATATGGGAAAGAAGGGGACAGGATGAATCAGCTTTGACTCAGCAGGTGTCATGTTACCTCACTTTTTCTTCTTCTTCTTTTTCAGGCAAACTCTCCAAGTTGGGAAAATAGGCCAGGTTACAGAGGGTGAAGGTAGGAGTACAGGGATGATGTGGGAGGCCCAGGAAGACTTTTTGGGGAGTAGACTCTTACATGATTAGACTTGAGAATCTCCTGAATTAGGACGCAAAGTTACGTGGCCTATAATAGGAAGGCTAACAGACAGTGTTTCTATTTATGATTTCACAGGAAGGTCCCCCGTGAGCCTCAAAATATCCAACTGAGATTTGCAGAGCAGTTGCCATCTCAAAGGGGCAATCTGAGACCTACAATGGTTAAACAACTTGTCCAAACTCAGGACCCAGAAATTCTATCACCAAACCCAACTAATAATCCTCACACTACACCAGAACCAATCCTCATACCCAGCTTCTTGTCTCCCATTGTGTTCAAAAAGATCCCCATTGCTGCTTCTAGAAATGCCTGTGTCTGCATGTGTATTTCATTTCAGGGACTATAACATTCACCAGTACGTCCAGAAAATTCTCTTAGAAGCACTGTGGATGCCTGGACCCTGATAACAGAGCTTACGTGCAGGGAAATGATATATTAGAGAATTACAGAAAACTGGTCTTCCTGCATAAGGATGACTTCCCTCCATAACGCAGGACTTGTTCTCATGCATCTCTGCTTTTTCCATGGTGGGTCTCTCAAGAGCCTGTGTTTCAAATGACTGCTTCTGATCCCCGTTCTTAAGGGAAAGACTGGAGCTTTTGTTGATTCAGAAATAAAAAAAACCACAGCGGTCCTTCTGGACATCAGTCTTCCCCTTTCTTCAGACGATCTGCTCACTTCATGCAGGATTGGTGGACGTTCCAGAAGTAAATACCCACCAACCCATAATACAGCAAACACTTTAAACACCCAACTTTCTAGTTCTAACCCTGTGCTCTTGATTCAGGATGTCTTGGAAGTGGAGTACATCCATATTATGTAGGATGTAGGAATCTGTATTTAAAATACCCTTTAAACGTTCAGAAGGAGGCAACGAGCAGACAGTTTTCTTTTTTTTTTTTTTTAAAGATTTTATTTTTTCCTTTTTCTCCCCAAAGCCCCCCGGTACATAGTTGTGTATTCTTCGTTGTGGGTTCCTCTAGTTGTGGCATGTGGGACGCTGCCTCAGTGTGGTCTGACGAGCAGTGCCATGTCCGCGCCCAGGATTCGAACCGACGAAACACTGGGCCGCCTGCAGCGGAGCGCGCGAACCTAACCACTCGGCCACGGGGCCAGCCCCAACGAGCAGACAGTTTTAAGAAATATTTTTAGATTCATTTATAATATCCTTTATTCTCATACAAACAAAGAGCTGTATTTGAATTTTGTAAAACCCATAGCACACCTTGTTGCCTTTTTTAAACTTTTATTTTGAAATTGTTACAAATGCATAGGAAGGTGCTAAGACAGTACAGAAGAGGCCCTTGTAACCTTCACCGAGTTTTCTCCAATAGCGACATCTTACATAAACATCCTACAGTAGTACTCTGTGAACACAGTTAACACATTTGCATCCAAAATCTTTGAGAAAAATGTTTCTACCAAAAAGCTGTCACTGTCCTGGAGATTCTTAGCTAGATGATGACTAATTGGCTATAAGCAGGTGCTTGACAATCAAACCTGTGGACCTTAAACCTTCACCTACTGAAGTAAAGGAAGATATGATGGTAAAGAAGAGAGCCACTTCCCAGAATTCTAATCAATTCAATCTAATTGCCAAAAATAGAGGCCATCTTGTAGTTCCCAATGATGGACATTTTTCTTCTGGGGAATACTGAATGCGAACCTGAAGCATGGGCTAAATGTATCATTTCAACCAAAATCTGATATTCTCCACTTACTGTTAGCTCCCAGTGAGAAATATTTACTTACACTTTACTTTCATTAAGGGCATTCCAAGAGTTGAACGTGTAACATAAGAATCACCACTATGAAGGCCGGGTAACATCTTTATTCTTCACAAATCTCAGAGGTGGGAACTACTATTTTTATTCTAAACAGGAGGAGAACTTATGCAGAGAGTGCAAAGTGATTTCACTAAATTCACATCTTGGTTACTAGTAGATTAGGGACTTAAATTTAGTAGAGATGGTAACAAAGTATAGCATTTAACCACCATGATACACTGGAAAAGCTAGTTAGCCATGTTCTTCCAATAATCTAGATTTAGTTGTTTTCATAACTTGTCATTATATTTTAGCTTAGTGGCATGTTACAATTTTGGCTGTGACAAGTTTCCATTTATGTGTAAAGATTTATTCTATATGCCAATACCAAATATGTATAAAGGTTTTGAGATACTAAAAAAATGCAGCTGCTCTGATTATAAGATAGTACACAAGATTCCACTTCATGACCAAGAATGGACTTAATGACTGCAAGGTTGGCTCAATATTAGCAGGCAAACAGAGAAACTCATTTCTTTTTATGCCAGGAACAAAACAGAGTGACACGTATTCCCAGAATTACTGAAGTCTCATAGGATACCCTTAAGTTTGGTAGCTAAAGCACTAACATGCAATTAAAGCAAGATTGCAGGATACAAGGTTAATTTACTAAAATTGACTGCCTTCCTATTTTCCAGGAATGAATAAGTGGAATAGAAAATTAAAAATATGCCATTTGCATTAGGACCCCAAAAAAAAAGTTCCTTCACAGACACCATCATGGCAACACATGAAAGATCTGTGATGAAGACATCTAACATCAATAAGAGATTTTGAACCTTGGGTTGAATGTCAATAATGCAGCCTTACCAAGAAATCTAAAAGAATAAAAATATATAATCTGAAGGTAAGTGGGCTTTTCCACCGAGCTCCTAGGTCCTTCAACACCCATCATCTCATGAATTTTGAATGATTTTGACTTTCAATTACTTGGCAGAGTGTTAACATTTTATTTGATTAATCTTCAAGAGGGACTGGACTTAATTCTCCCTAGTAAGACTGTCTGATACACAGTACACAGTGAAACCTGCTTAGACAATTTACCACACTCATTCTATTTCTAAGAGTTTTCTCCAGTATGGTATCTTTGGTGAATCCTGAGGCAAGGCCTTGCTGGCCTCAAGTACTGACTACCTTCTTTTGTAAGGTTTCCTTCCAGTATGAGTTCCTTCACGACTCCAAAGGTGTAAACATTTAATAAAAGCTTTACCACACTCTACATCTGTATCTTCACTCCATGTATATTCTGGTGTCTATTGAGGCTCGAGTACTGCTTAAAGGCTTTGCCACATTCATGACATTTGTAAGGCTTCTCCCCAGTATGAATTCTTTGATGAACTATAAGGCTTGAATTCTGACTAAAGGCCTTGCCACATACAGTACATTTATATGGTTTCTCTCCAGTATGAATTTTCTTATGTTGAGTAAGATTTGAACTCCCGGTGAAGGCTTTGCCACACTCATTACATTTGTAAGGCTTCTCTCCAGTATGAATCCTCTCATGACCCCAAAGGTGTGAACGTGTGGTAAAATCCTTACCACATTCGTTACATTTGTAAGGTTTCTCTCCAGTATGGATTCTCTTGTGTTGAGCAAGATTTGAACGCTCAGAAAAGGCTTTGCCACACTCATTACATTTGTAAGGTTTCTCTCCAGTATGAATTCGCTCATGACTCCAAAGGTGTGAACGTATCATAAAATCCTTACCACACACATTACATTTATATGGTTTCTCCCCAGTATGAATTCTCTGATGCCTTGTGAGGTTTGAGAACCTGTTAAAGGCTCTGCCACACTCATTACATTTGTAAGGTCTCTCATCAGAATGAATTCTTTGGTGATTAGCTAAGGTTGAGCAGTGGCTAAAAGCCTTCCCACACTCGTTACACTTGTAAGGTTTTTCTCTAACGCGTGTTTTCTGGTGTTCTGTGAGCAATGCAGGATGCATAAAAACCTTCCCATATTTACCACAAATATTAGTTTTGACACTAGGAGGAAGTCTTTGAAGTGGTGAAACTGAAGAACAATTGTTGATGGACTTCTCAACTTGATGACGTTCATAAATTTTCTCTTCAGTTTGAAATCTCCGCAGTTCAGCCAGATGTGAATGAAAGCTCAGTCCAAGCCTGTTTTTCAAACATTTCATATACTTGTTTCCTGAACAGCCTATGTCATTTTTTAGTTCCTTATTCCTTATATATGACTTGTCATGTTTGTAATATTGAGACATACTTTTTCTTACAGAAACATTCTGCTTTACAGGGAAATTATTCCAGGATTTATGATGTTGTAGATCTCTTCTACCAGTGAGATTTTTGTAATGGCTTCTAGGCACGCCTTCATAATTCTTTTCTTCATATACCCACTGACTCTCAAATTTGTGCATATTTTGCTGGACTTCCCTGAAATCAAAATCATCAAAACTCTGGCATACGTGTCTTTCCAAAATAGATGTTTGGAATAATTCTCCATTATTAATGTCCTCTTTTGGTGATAGTTCTTTGATAAAACATCTAGTAGAAATATCTGTAAGATACAAATTATCAAAGGCTTCCTATTAACTCGAGTTGTAAGATGGGTATTTTATATTAAAAAATATAATCTTACACCAAAAGTAAAACTCATAATGAACAGAGTTATCAAGCTTCTCAACCAAGGTCTGCAAATGTTTACAAACACAAAGGATATGATTCCTCAATAAAGAAAGGGTGATGACATGTAATTCAAATTCCTTTCCGGGAAGCCTACTTTCAAATGCTCTCTGATCAAAAGTTATTATAGTCCTGACAGAAGGGCAATTTTTCACACCAACTCAAAGGAGGAATATAGGTATCTCATATTTGGGGAAAAAAACATACGGAAGCTAATTACTGATTATTTATTGTACACACCATAAAAAAAACTGCTTTTAGAACAACAAAATATTCTTGTAAACACCTAATATAAAACTAAATCCATGCATAATAGACATACTGCAATGTTAACAATTAGTATACTGTGGTTATATTAAATGATAGATGCTAAAAATTAATTATCTGTCAATCATAATAAAAAGCAATAAATATTTTAACAACCTAAGACAACTGCAGTAGTAAATAATAATTATTTACATTTACACATACATATGTATATATATAGTTTGTGGAATTCTAAGAAATTCACCCATAAGAACAAAATGAAGAATTTATATTTCAGAAGTAGAACATAATACGAGCACTGGAAAATATGTTGAAAACCACTGATTTTGAAATAAGAGGTTCAGGTAAATAAGTAATATGATAGAAATTAACAATGGGGAAATGTAACACCAAAAATGTCAAAGCAGGGAACTCCAAATGTACCTCCCTCTACAAAAGCAGGAAATGAACAAAAACCGTGAGAATCAACTTTACGAGAACTCTGGAAACTAATGAAAGGATTCCGGAAACCAAGAACATTCTTAACCAAGAACAAGAGAGCTGCTTTAATTTACCCTGACCCCATCCCATTCCTCAGCTAGGCAGTGGCCTTGAAGATGTCAGCCCTCAAGCTTGTATAGTTTTCTAGAACCAGAGGGGACAGAATGGACCTTATAAAGAATTGTGGCTGTTTTTCTTGTTCTGCCTGCTGGGTCCCTGAAGGACTGGTTCAAAGTGGTTGCCTTTATTTGGCCTACCACAGAACTCTACCTAGGTAGAGGTGCTAAACAAGGGGCATTTGTCAGAAACATTTAAAGGTAAATATAGTAGCCACTGCTACCTAGGGCAAGAAATAACAATTGGGGCAAACAATGGACAAACTGAAAACTCCAAGAAAAAACTGGAAAGTGAGCTGCATTGTGGAATAAGGACTTTCAAAATCCCTATAAAATACAGGAAATCTAGATGTTTACAAGCATGCCCTGGACCGGGCACATGAGAAACGACCTGAGAAGCCCCTAAGCTTATACTGCCTATTGACCATCTGATTTTGTGCATGCAAGAAGTGAAGGCTAAGGCCGAGTTGTAAACTTCTTGCCTGAGTGTTTAAGGTATACCCCAACATACATCCTAACATACAGAGAAACACACAGAGAGCTCAACTATAAAAAAATCCAAGTGGCTTTGTTCTGTTTGTGATTCCAAGTGATTAAGGAAATCTGTCAAATCATTAGCTGCCCAATAAGCTATTCAAAAACTTCAGTAGCCACACACAGCAAAGAAAACACACCACAGAAAATTAGTTGAAAAAAATACACAAACACACATCAGCAATCAAAGAAACAATAACATACCCTGGGGAGAGAGAAAATTATGATTTCCAAAGTTTCAACATACTCAAAATGTCCTGTTTTAAACAAAAAATTAAAAGCAGGCAAAGCAACAATCAAGTATGCCACATACAAACAATAAATAAATAAACTACAGAAATTATCCCTAAGGAAGCCCAAACTTTGGACACACTAAACAAGAACTTTAATAGATTATTTAACCTAAAGGGAATGATGGATATAGAATTAAAGGAAATCAGGAGAACAGTGTTTGAACAATAGAGGGAGATAGAGCTTATGAAAAGAAACTAAACACAAATTCCGGAGCTGAATGGTAAACTAATTGAAATGAAAAATTTCCCAGAGAGGGCCAACATCAGATTTGGGCAGAGAGAAGAATGAATCAGTAAACTTGAGGAGAGATCACTTGAAATTACCAAGTCTGAGCAGTAGAAAGAAAAAAGACTGACTATAAATGAATGGAGTCCAAGAGACCTGTAGGATATCATCAAGTAGACCAACATATGAACAATGGGAGTCCCAAAGTTGGGGGGCGGGGGGAGAAAGAAAAAGAGGAGGCAGAAAGAATACTGGAAGAAATATGGTCAAAAATTTCTTAAATGTGAATAAAGACATGGATCTACAAATCTAAGAACTCAATGAACAGAAAGGAGGATGAACTCAAAGGGATCCACACTACAAAAACTTACAATCAAACTGTTGAAAGAAAAAGGCAAAAAGAGAACCTTGAAAGCAGCAAGGGAGAAAATATTCATCATCTAGAAAGGATCCACAATAAGATTAACAGTTGATTTCTCAGCCAAACCATGGAGTCCAGAGAAAATGGGGTGACATAGCTAAATTGTTGACAGACAAAAAAACTCAACCAATTCTATCTCCAGCAAAATTGTCAGTTAAAAATGAGGGAGAAACTAAGAGTTCCAAGATAAACAAAACGTTACGGAGTTCCTTACAAACAAGACCTGCCTTCTATGAAATAAAAGAAGAAAACACTTTTTAATTCATTTTATGAGACCAGCATTACTCTGATACCAAAGCCAGACAGATATCACAAGAAAACTACAGATCAATATCCCTTATGTACAGATATGCAAAAATCCTCAGCAAAATACCAGCCAACTGAATACACAGCATATTAAGATTATATACCTTAAACCAGCATCTGGGACTTATTCCAAGAATCCAAAGGTGGATGGTTCAATATAATAACCAACATTAAGAGTAAGAAGAAGAAAAAAACACTACCTAATTATCTCATTGTAAGATGAATATATATTTGAAAAAAATCCAGAACCTTTCAGGATAAAAATGCTCAGCATACTAAACAGAGAACTAAACTTCCTCAACCTGACAAAGACCATTTATAGAAAACCCACAGCTAATACAGTCTACGGAGAAAGAATAAAAAGCTTTCCTCCTGAGATAAGGAATAAGCCATGCCCACTTTCACCACTGCTGCCCAACACTGTAGTGGAAGTTCTACTCAGAGCAATTAGGCAAGAAAAAGGAACAGAAAACATACAAATTGGAGAAGAAAAAGAAAAGCTATCTCTATGTGCAGATGACACAATCCTACATATAGAAAATTCCATAAAATACGTACATACAAACCTACTAGTGTTATAAAGGACGTCAGCAAAACTGTAGGATATAGTATCAATACACAAAAACCAGTTGTGTTTCTATACACAATAATGAACAATCTCAAAAGGAAACTTAAAAAATAATTCCAGCCATAACATCCAAAGAATAAAATACCTAAAAATTTAAATTTAACCAAGGAGGTGCAAGATACGAGACCGAAAATCACAAAACAGTGTTGATAGAAATTAAAGACCTAAATAAATGGAAAGTAATTCCATACTTATGAATTGGAAGATTTCCTATTTTTAAGATGGTAATAGTCACCAAAGTGGTCTACAGAGTCTATGTAAACACTATCAAAATTCCAAGAAACTTTCATGGAGAAATACAAAAGGAGGTGAAATTTATAAGGAACTGGAAAGGGCCCTAAACAGTTAAGATAGTATTGAAAAAATTATGAAATGTACAAAATAGATAAATCCATAGAGACAGAAGGCAGACTGGAAGTTTCCAGGGACTGAGGACAGAAAACAACATGGACAAACTGCTTACTGGGTAACGCATGCTAACGTGCAGTGATGGAAAACTTGCAGAACTAGATATAGGCGGCGGTTGCACAACTGGCAAATATACTAAATGCCATGAATTGTTCACTTAAAAATGGCTAATTTTATGTTACGTGAATTCCACTGAATAATTTTTTTTAAATAATCTAAGTGATGAATTTCACAACATATTTTAAAAACATTTACCAATTTTGATATGTCAAAATTTTGAGGCTGCCTCCTTATATTATATAAGAATAATAGTGTCTCTTAGGCTAGCCTCCTCTAATTATCTAAAATCCTATCATTGGATCTCTTAACATAATCCCTACATAGAGGAGACATGAAGTGAATGGTGCTCTTACTATATCTATCTGTACATATATCGTTATCATGAATAAAGAAAAATTAATGTACACTTGTCCAAAATTAATAAACTCTCACTTCAACAGATCACCAGGAGAACACAAATAGCCTTAATAGGCATACGATCAAGAGGAAGGAATGACTTCTAAAGAAGGCGGTATTATTAGCAGCAGTTAAGTGTAGAAACAACTTTCGGCAGTTCCATGAGATCCATGAGATCCATGAGATCCATGAGATCCATGAGCAAGGCGGCTGTGCAGAGATGATCAGCAACATAAGAAGCCAAGAACAGCCACAGGACCACAGGAGACCACTGGGATATGGGTCAAGAAAGACAGCTGAACTTTACATAGAATTCAGGTTAAAATGCAAGATGGGGAACAAAACAGTCTTCATGGGTTAATTGAAAAATGCAATTTCCAGAACATTAGAAATTTTGTGGAAAACAGTATCATAAGCAACAGGGAATAAAAAGTACATGCAGCGCAAGAAATTGGCTGTGTTTCCCATAAAATAAAATTTGATATTTAAATATTAGTTTAGTATAAGAAGAGTTATACCACACATCTAGACAGGGAGACGATCTATTACAATAAAGAACTTAAACCAAAATATAAATATCTGTGAAATCTATATAAAACACAAGTTACGTTTAGAAAACTTAAAATATACCATAGAAAAACCAAAGTATCCTATATAACAAATCTTGGCCTATCAAATTATACCATCATTCTGTCAGTTATCAAACTATGGCAGCTGCATGTTGTTGTGGCGCTGAAAGCTATGCCAATGGTATTTCAAAAACCAGCAGGGTTACCCACGGTGGCCAGGTTTCAGCAGCTTCCTAAGACAGACTAGGAAGAAGCACCCGGCCACCCACTTCTGAAAAGATGGCCATGAAAACACTATTAATAGCAGTGGAGCATTGTCTGATATTGTGCCAGAAGATGAGAGGATCACACAAAAAAGAATGGTCAGGGATCCACTCTGCTGTCTAAACAGGGTCATTAGCAGGCAGAATCAATTTGACGGCACTAACAAGAAAAAAATTTAAAGATAAAGATATCTACCTCTTTTCCAAAAACTACTGAATCAAAAGTATGGGAGTAAAACCAGGCAACCAGATGTTTTACAGTCTTGCTTTAAGGTTTTGTGCTTACTCAACTTGTAGAACCCCACTAACTAGCATGAAGTGGGCAGATCACCTGATGGGGAAGTTTAAAATCCAGAAATTGCATTACACAGCTTTTCATTTCTGAATCAACACAGCTTCAATCTCAGTCAAGGAAGGCAGGGGTTCCCAAGAGACTCACAAGAGAAAATGCCATGAGACCCAAGGGCAGATTCTGGAGGAAGTTGTCCTCACCCAGGGAGAGCAGGTTCCTGTAGTTCTCCAGCATCACGTCCCTGTACAAGGCCCTCTGAGCGGGGTCCAGGCATTCCCACTCCTCCTGAGAGAACTCGATGGCCACATCCCTGAACGTCAACAGTTCCTGAAATGAAAACACGTTTTGCGAAGAGGCCATCAGGAGAGTTCTTATCTTCACAAAAATGAAAGGAGGAGAAAGGTCTAAGAGTCAATTACACAGAAATGAGCATTCTGACAGAGCCACAAAAGACAAGTCTGAGCAAGTCATATCTCCTTAATTTTGCTTTGTTACACTTCTCCATCAGAAGATACGACGTCCACTAAATCATTGAATTTTACTGGATTTAAAATAACTGGATTTTAAAATTTGTGCATGATAAAAGAAACATACATACTGTATTGCATATGTGAAAGTTTCTAAAAGAGTAGATCTTAAAAGTTGTCATCACAAGAAAAAACTTTGTAACTATGTATGGTGATGGATGTTAACTAGACTTATCATGGTGATCATTTCACAACATATACAAATACTGAATCACTGCGTTGCAGACCTGAAATTACTATAATGTTGTATGTCAATTATACCTCAATAAAAAAATATTAAAAAAAAGTTATACAATTTGCCTGAAGTAAAAACATGAGTCTTCAGTAAAAACTTAAGTACTGCTCCAGATTCCAGACATATGGACCTCTCTGGTATACTGTGATAATATCTTCATATCCAACAATCATATTAAATGAAGCTCTCCATCGAGGTACAAAAGTAGTCACAGAAAGAATACCGTTTGGAATTTCAGTGTCAATATGTGGGTAACCAAAATGCAACATACAAAACCTGAAAATGAGGGAAAAGGAAGTTGATATTCAGACGTTACTTTGAGTAACTTATATACTAGGAACCAAAGAAAATTTTAGGAATGTGTTTTTCACTTTGGGGTGAATACAAGATGAGAATTTCATGAATTATCATATAAGATCATAAAGAAATAATGGTACAGAATAAAACGTGACCTTCTGGATTTGGACAAAGAGGAATGATATCTCAGTCCTTTTTGCTTGCCTCCCACTGACACATTCATGTAACAGAGTGAACAAATGCAGAAGCACCAGCATTGGAGTTAGGAATATTACCTGTCACTGGAATGATTTCCTAGTCACTAAATTACTAAATGGGGTCCTAAAGGACAATAGTGGCCCAGGGAGAAAAGGGGTACGAGATTTGTATCATCTCCATTATGCACCTGAACCTAGAGACTTAACTAAAGTTCTCATTTGAAGGGAAGGGGAAAAATATATATATACATACAAAAATGAAAATAATTCAACAAAAGGTCATCTATATACAAGTTCTAGATATTATGATCAATATGCCAACTGCAATCTAATTTCTAGACGAGCTACAGCATGAGTAGTGTCTTCAGAGATGAGAAAGTTCACAGCAGTTTCAACGAAAGGTGAGAAGTGAAAAACTAGAATGATGATGATAACGTAACTCAAACTTTTGAAGACTTCTCATGTGATAGGCATTACTCTAAATGTTTTTTAAGTATTAACTCATTTAACAACATAGCATCTAACTAGAAAAGATTTGTTCCCACCTTACAGAGGACGCAACTTTGTCACAGACACTCTAAAACTCACCACAGCCCAAATAATTAATAAATGGCAGAGCAGCACCTGACCCAGGTGGTAGCACTTTAGACTGGAACTACACCATCACACGGTTAAGTAATACACATAACATTAAAAGTACATCCACAGAGGGTTTCCTGAGAAAATTTGAAAAAAGTTCCAGGCTAATCAAAATGGACCTAGAAAAAAGGTCAATGTATACACACATGCAGACACACAATGAGTTATTCTTCTTACTGCTATTAACTCATTGACCTGGTAGTGCAGGAAAAAAACTTAAGTCCATGGAAAACATGTAAGACATCCTTTCAAAGGTTAAAAAAACTTATTTTTGAAATGATATCTTTTATACACACCACAGGTTCCTGCTCACATACACACATGTGCGCACAAACATATACACTGAAATTAACCGAAATAAAAGTAGTAGCCTCTAAATGATATGTTTTGGGTAAATCTCTATTATCTATCATCTTTTACTCATGTGCACGTCAGCATTTTTGGTACAAAGAATATGTATAAATTGTACTAAATTTAAATAAGATTGGCAACATTATTCTATATTAGCCTACTTACCAAAACAAAAAGCTGCAAACAGTGAAAAAACGTACAAAAAACACTTAACTTTGATCTCCATTAACACATATATGTAAAAATAGGAGATCGAATCTATGTGGAGCTGAGACGAGACAGAGAAGGTCCTGGGGCGAGTGCCAGCAAACGTCTCAGGCGGGACACTTCCGAGAGAGAGATTAAGTTCAAACGGCCACTCAAGATGGAGAAGACAGAACAATGAATTGAGACTATGACTCTACCTGAGAAAGCGTCATTCCTGACTCCTCCTTCTTTCCTCTTCTTCCTCCTCCAGGCTTCTTTCTCAGGCAAAGTGAATCTTGAGATGTCAATCCTGAGTGTCAGAAATGTGCTACTTATTAATGCTCAGAGTCAACACACTTACCCACACGGGGAGCACATCATGATGTAATGACATTCTTCTGCTGCCCACTGCCACAGGAGGGATTCAGGGACAGTAAACTGCTACACAGAGACCAACAAGTGACTTTTTTGACCCCTTTATTCAGAACTCACTCCCCTCCTGGTGAAGCCCTCACATCAGCTGCAGTGGGGAGCTGAGCTGGACTGATCTCCCCTTCAGGACACCGACCATGGCCTGATCAAGGCCCAAGGCTCAAACCTCTCTCCGGATTAGGGACTGCTTTGGGTCCTCAGAAATGGATGATCCAGAGCCCTGGTGTTCCCTGCTGGATACAGATCGGAATGACCTGGGGAACTTTAAACATCCTTGAGGCAGGGCCCCATCCCCCTGACCACAGGAAGGGAACTCTCTGGGGACTGGGTACAAGAGGGATATGCAAAACGCCTCAACAATGCAATGTGAAGACAAGATGGTGTGCCACTGAGAGCAGGCAAGGCCAGCACATGTCCCGCCTTGTGATTCTGCTCTCTCCTGGGGCCCTGTCCCCTGTATCCAGACAGTGGAAGGGGAAGGAGCAGAGAGAAAAAGGCAGAGCAGGCATTCTAGGCTAGGGCTTGGGTAAGGGGGTGGCTGGAATGTTAAATGGGAGTGTCAGAGAAGGCTCCACTGAGAAGGGGGGTGGCTATCAGAACAAAAACCAGAGGAAGGAAGTTCACTATGCATTTGAGGAGTCAGAGTTCTAGGCAGAGGGCCCAACCTTAGGAAAGACCTGAGGCAGTGGTGACCCTGTCCCCAGGAAAAGCAAAGACATCTGTGTGGCTCAGCTGCAGTGAGGGAAGAGGAGACAAGCAGAAGACGAGCTCACAGAGGTACTGGCAGAAGCAGATAGGGAGGCCCCGGTCTTCAAACACTGTTCTCCCCTATCCCAAGAGAATTCTGGAAATCATGTATTCCTTCAACCATCTTAACTTAATATCTAATTCTTTCTTTAACTTACTTAAAACACCTATAAATAATGTAGTATACTATATATCTCAAAAACATGCCAAGATGGTCGCCTAAGCCCCAGGCAGTAGGGCATTGATCTTAACTGAGATGTGGAAGACGGCAGGGGGAACACAATTAGGGAGTTCAGGGGGTCGTGTTTGGACATTTTCAGGTGGAGATGCCTATGAAACGTCCCAGCAGAGATGTCAAGGATACAGCTGGACAACAGGAGTCTAGAGTTCAGGGGTGAGGTCTGAACTGGAGATGTGGAACTGGGAGATGTCAAGGTGTTTAAAGTCATGAGATAGGATGATATAAAAAGTCACTGGGTAAAGAAGATGTGGTGTGTGTATATATATATACACACATAAACAATGGAATACTACTCAGCCAAAAAAAAAAGACACAATCGTGCCATTTGCAACAACATGGAAGAACTTGAGGGTATGATGTTAAGCGAAATAAGCCAGACAGAGAAACACAAATGTTGCATGATTTCTCTCATATGTAGAAGATAACAGATACACGGATAAAGAGAACAGATTAGTGGTTACCAGAGGAGAAGGGGGTTAGAGGTAGGCAAAAGGAGTAAAGGGATACATATGTATGGTGATGGACAAAAATTAGACTATTAGGGGTGAGCACAATGAAGTGTATTCAGAAGCTGATAAATAATAATGTACACTCGAAATTACACAATGTTATAAATGATTACGATCTCAACAGAATTACTGGAACAAAAAACAAAGTCACTAAGTGCAGAAAGAGAAGAGAGGAGGGCCAAGACTAAGCTATGGGGTACTCCCATAATTAGAGACTAGGAAATTGAGGGAAAACCAGCAGAGGAAACTGAGAAGTGAACAGGGAGGGGAGAAGGAAACTGAAACAGACAGATAAATGATAGGTAAGATTCAGTTTTAAGTAGTAGAATGTCCTGAAGGCCAGGAAAAAAAGTGCTTAAAGGAAGAGGGAGTGATCGACTGTTCAACATGTTGTTGATAGACTAAGAGGCAAACTGTGAATTAACCAGTGGATTTAGAAATGGGAGGACATTACTGCCTCTGACAAGTATCAGTGGAATGGTAGATGGGAAAACTTGATTGGATGGGGTTCAAGGGACAACTGGAGGCAAGAATTGAAAACAGAGTACAAACAAGTTTTTAGTGCATCTTGTTCTGAAATGAAGCATAGAAGGGTTCTTATCAAAGGAGACAATGTAGTTAAGAGGATTTTTTTATTTTAAAGATGAGAGAATATAGTGACCAAAAAGGCTCTGTTTCTTTTTGTTTTGTTCAAGTTGGACTATACCACCATCTGAGTGTGATGACCAAAATAATTTTGGTAAAAATTAGAGGTAAAAACTGATGACGTGGTGGCAGAAGGATGCAGTGTCATTCTGAGACTGTGAGGGGTTCTGGGAACAAATGCACAATTGGAAGGTGGGGGACAGCTAGGTTCAAGGACAGACTATTGCCAGAGAACAGTGAAGCAGACAGACAACCCAGGTGGCCCAGCAAGAAGATGTCTTCCCACTGCTTCCAGGTACTCAGAAAAGTGAAGATGGGAAAGGCAGAGCTGGACTTCTGAGGGCAGAATAGGCCAAGAGGGAAATTCCAGAGGAACTGGGCCCAGAATCTGAAGTGAGACCAGTCAACTAGGGTTTATGTTTTCCTCGAGCTGAGAGGGGGACAGACACAAAACAGGCAGAGTTGGATGAGACGACGGTGTGCAGGAGAAGCAAGGAGGTGGAGGGTATGTGAGAAAATGATTACGTCAGTCCTTCGTTTGGGGGCATTTGACTTGCGTGGCTATTAGTAACCGGAAGGTTTAGTTGTCTCCATCTTTTAAAATAATCTGGATTATGTACGAGAGTATATGCCATTGGTTTACAATTTTAATCCCTGGTGCAGAGAGAACAAAGCGTGGCCTATAGTAGAGGCTCCATATGCACTGAATGAATGACTGAAGGCCTCTGGCGTAGGCTTCACCCTGGGGGCTGATGTTAAAATGGCTGTGCTTAAAATGGTCTTCTCACAAGTTAGGGGGGAGCTGGCGAGGGGCGGCAGAGGAGGGCGGAGCCAGGAGTCCCTCACTGAGACCACTCTCCTCACCCAGAGCAGGTGGGAAGGGCACAGGTAAGAAATCTAGTGAGCTGAATCTGTGCGATAGCTGCCTTGGGCGCGATAGCTGCCTTGGGCTGAGCGCACCCACAATGGCAATAAAGGAGCCTGAATTCTGCAGAAAGAGGAACGTCCTTCTGGCCACTGGGACCCATAGATGGACACTTTCCTGGCGTCTAAGATTTCTGACTTTGCAAAGACATTTGGCTTAAATATTCACAGCCCCAAATCCTGGTTTGATTCACTCTAAGATTCTACAGACTGATGAAACAGCAGGAAGTGTGTGAACACCACAGCAAAGGAGAAGTTGGAAGACTTGAGCAAGGGGAGAAAGGAGAGGCACAAACAGACAAAAGGAGCTTTCTTCATCAGGTCACCTGGTGGGGAAAGCCCCTACTTTGCCATTTCAGAAAAGATAAAGGACCATGGCGGTGTTGTGTACATCGGGTGAAGGTGTACTCAGTGGAAAGACTCCTTTCTCTAAATGTGATCCCATTTTATCACCCCCTCTCTAGTGGCTGCTGAGCACAGGGTCACAAGGTGATGACAAGCAGAGCTTCTCCTTGCTCCAGCTCAGAAGTCTCCCTCCCATTATTTGGGCCTTAAAGCCCTGTAAGGGCAAATAAAAATCCAATAATAATGAAAATAGTAACAAAATTACCTGTGCTACAAAAAAGGAGAGAGACTTTCCTTCTCTTTTATTGGAGCATTTACTAAAAACAAACAAAAAAACCCTTGCAATTATAAATTCTTTGTCTGCTCCATAAGCCTCTAGCCAGTTTTATGGCCCAAGAATGTTTTTCTCAAGGATCTGGGAGCCATCTCTTTGAAATGTAAATACCAAGAAAGACTGTGCCCCCCATCTCCCAGTCCAGGTAGGAAGGTACAAGCTTCACTTAGGTACCTGTCACCTAGTTGTAAATCTACCTGCTGTCACATACTTTCTATGAGAAGTTTTATTTTTCCTTTGAATGAAGACAATTAGCTAACACAAAATGGCCACTGCAATTACCAGGCTAATATAGTAATTGACAAATAGTGCTGAGAAATAGTGCTGTGAAGTCCTCTTACTTGAGGACTAATAAGCATTTATCTTGAGAACATATACAAAATAGGTTGCATCTGCTTGGCTATAAAAAAGGGTGAGCTTTCTTTCTGCCTTTGCAAACTCTTGGCGGATCCCTTATGATGTGTATCATACTTAGGTTTAATGCTTATTCAATAATAAAACTCTTTCTTTCCCTTCAACTCTTGTGGAGAGGTTTTCTGAGTGGTGGAAAATATCGTTTTTTTAGTTTTAGTTTTATCCTAGTTTTTAGATGTATTTTCTCAATGCCCCCAGTGTTTGTGTTCCTGCCTCCAAACCCTACCAGGACCTATGACCTCCCACCTGTTAGAGAAATACCTTTGTTCCATATTTAATTTAAAACATCTTGTCCCCCTCTTCCTCGACTACCCTGGGACAGGGTGTGTGCCTGCGTGCATATGTGTGTGTGTGTTTGTGTGTGTGTGTGTTGGGAAGGGCAGAGAGAGGCCACTACAGAGAAACCAGCACTGGCCTGGCAGCCACGAAGTCGTAGCTGCAGCTTTTCCTCAAGTACAGTCCCAAGGATGAGGCTATGGGCTGCGGATCACTGCGGCTGTGTCTGCCCTCTGATTCCTGGGACAAGGTGCATGAATAGTCAGGGGCCCTCACAGCCTCTCCCCAGTTGTGCCCAGTCACCCACAGTAAGTGCTCTCTAACAAAAACCTGCCACCTGAGCCTTCAGCACCACTACTTCTGCCGTGGACACTCTTACAAGTTCCCATGGGGTCTGACGCACTCCCCAGAGACCCCAAAATGACCCCTTTATTCTGCTGCGA